TACCCATTTTGTATTAGGCTGGACCAATGGGAGGCAGTTTTGGAAATTCGTTCTTCTGTGTACTAAATGGTACTAAATTTTGAACAACTTAAAAATTGGGTGAAGCGATAGATCTGGAATTTAGGTGAACAGATCGGACTATAATCATGACATTAGACAATATGATTTCTATTGTAGTGTTGAGGTGGATACTCGTAGAAGTTTATATTAATGTGTACTATATGTTACTACATTTCATGCAATGTGGATTAAGATGACACGATAGAGCTGGAATCCTGAAATTTGGAATTTCTGTACTAAATGGTACTAAATTTGGTAAAACTTGAATTTGGGTGAACATATGGGGCTCGAAATAAAATCCCAAATGTAATAGATAGTATTCAGGGGAACCCTACCATTCTCAGTTTGAAAAAAATAAATTTAATTTTTTTATTTGATTCGAATTCATTATACAATTTCAAATGAAAATCTCAATAACTGCTGAAGATATAGCCGATTTATTGTATTAGTATCAAGAGACGACAAGAGTGATTCTCAAACTTTAAACGCGTTTTTCTCGAAATAGTGAATATTCACTTAAAATTAGTTTATAGCTAGATTTATGTTTCAGTCATGCTGTAATATGGTGCTAGATACATACTATAGGAAAGCAAAACCTTAAAATAGGGTCGATATTGGTGTGTAGTCTGAATAGCTCTTCTAAGCGTTTCCATTAAAGTACTTTAGCTTTGGTTTTAGAGGTAATCTAGATCAAGGTTGTCGATAACTAACAGCTCTTTATGCGATAACAAACACATAATGCGACAAAATATTGCAATTTTGGATCTTGTGTTCGTAGTTAAGGTCGGTACGGTTCTATGAAGTTAACATCAAACTCCTAAGAATATGTACCCTCCTAATAATGTTTCACCATTGGTTCGAGTCGGAGTGAAGCTTTTGATACGATTTAAAGTCCATTAAAATAGTTTTTATTGCTTTTTTTAAATGTAACTTATTGAGACTTTTTTAAACTGTACTTAGAAAGAGCACATTACTCTTAAGAAAATCCGAATTTCTTTGTTACGATCAAGAATGTACTTCACAGAAAATTTGGTTTTAGGTCCAGTGTCTTTGGACCAATTCCGTTTCTGTTGCATCAAAAACATTTTATGAGTTTTCACACGAAATTGCATAGGTAATAAACATATGAATAATATTAAATCGTTAAGTCGTTGACAAAACAGAGTCAGTGTATCATAAAGTAAGTAAAGTTTGTTGCTTAAGTCTTTTGATTTATTTTTTCTTACATTTAGTAATTTAACGATTCCAATGATATTGTCTTTTATATTATGGAACAACTATATTTTGTAATGATATTTGTATATTACAACAACAAAAACCCTGACTTTGCCTTAAACCTCAATCCAATGGCAATTTCCTATATATTTTATATGACAACAATGTTGGAAAAAAAACTTCTAGACAGGCGACACTGTCTCATCACCTAACTTTGCATAAATATTAGGGCTTTATATCTGACAGTTGTTTTTGCCTCTTATGGACAAAAAGAATAATGTAAAAATTATTATTCAAACATAAATAATCAACATCGATTTTGACTGCAAAAGGGTGCCACTGTGATTGCCAATATTGGTTAGGCTATGGCTGGAAGACAGAACAAACGATGTGGTGATTGGCAATAACTTCCCAATTTGGTTCCGCTAGAAGATTATTGTTATTATGAAAAACTTTACACACATTCGACAATTCCTTGAGGCCAGCTAACAATATTTAAAGTTTATTACATGGCTAGGAAGCCATGGGTGATGGATGTATGTTTGGCTAAAGCGAACTGAAGTTCTGGGGTTTCTGTGTGTTTAACCATTTTTTTGTGATTTTTTGTTTGATTTTTGTATTTGGTTGTTATTAGGATTGTAAATTGTTATTAATTTATATGCATTGCGTTATCGGAAGAAATTTTTAATAAACAAAAAAACACACAGAAGCACACATACGCACACTTCACTTCATTAGGCCACATGCCCAAAGTCACGTTTTGTACGGTCACCACCGACAACTCCGGACATGGACAACGGATCTTTATAAGGTATATGATTATAGGTGGGTTGGTTAGCTGGTCGCCATGCTAATGCCAATAAATATTAAACATTAAAATGAAAACACATTAATATGAGAATCCGTGTGCCCCTGCCTCGAGCTGGTAAATTTTAGCATAAACATTTGAAACAGAAAGAAAGGCGGTAGCTCTCTACCATGACCATAACGGAAATCAAGCTAAGGTATGCCAGCGATGGCCATTTAAAGTTCTTATAACGACAAAACTGCACCCAATGACCCACCATATGCGGCAATAAAAAGTGTTTTCCCATTTCCTTTCCGGGTGAACTTTAACAAAGTGGTGGGGCAGTGGTGGTGGTGGTGATGGCTGCCTACTTTGTCGCTGCCATGGCCTGAATGACCTTCATAATGAAATCAGTTTTAAAATTCAACAATGATTTCAGTGTTGTGATTTTTTTGAAATTTACCTTTCTTTTTTCTCCATGAATTTGGTTTACTGACACATTGTCTTGTCAGCACGACAAATAATTTCTATGAAAAAATGTTCCCATTACCATCGTTTAAGCTTCGATTTACATATTTTGTGTTGAGGCATTTCTGTTTACAAAGGTCTCGTTTTATATTCAAATAAATGTGAATATTTCTTTCTTCATTTCACATCTAATTGTGTTGATGGATTTTTTTCTAAAACAAATCCTCTATAAATAAAAAAGTGTAATAATCTGAATTTTTATTTGATTATTTAATGTTGTTGTGAAATTGTTACGGCTTCTGGATAATGATTATGAGAAATAGGCACAGTGTTACAAAAACGTCAGACGTGGATATTTTTCGAAGACCTGTAGAAGGCGTGGACTTTTTAAAGAATTTTCTTCTAAGACCTGCAGAAGGCGTGGATTTTTTAAAGACTATTTTGCTAAGGCATGTAGAAGGCGTGGATTTTTAAAGAATATTTTTCCAAGGCCTCCCAACAAGGCGTGGATTTTTTAAAGAATATTTTTCCAAGGCCTATCAATCAAGGCGTGGATTTTTTAAAGAATATTTTTCTAAGGCCTCCAACAATGTGTGGATTTTTTAAAGAATATTTTTCCAAGGCCTCCCAACAAGGCGTGGATTTTTTAAAGAATATTTTTCTAAGGCCTCCCAACAAGGCGTGGATAAGACCTGTAGAAGGCATGGATTTTTTAAAGACTATTTTTCTAAGGCCTGTAGAAGGCGTGGATTTTTTAAAGAATATTTTTCTAAGGCCTACCAATTAAGGCGTGGATTTTTTAAAGAATATTTTTCCAAGGCCTGCATTAGGCGTTGATTTTTTAAAGAATATTTTTCCAAGGCCTGCATTAGGCGTTGATTTTTTAAAGAATATTTTTCCAAGGCCTGCATTAGGCGTTGATTTTTTAAAGACTATTTTTCTAAATCCTACCAATTAAGTCGTGGATTTTTTAAAGAATATTTTTGTAAGGCCTTTTTTCGATTCGAAATACTGTGCCCTTCTACCGTTTTGTTGCTTTTTATTTACCCTGTCGCAATTCGAAATATCTGTGTTTTGTTATCTCGTTAAGACTTCCGTTTGGCTTAAATTTTCTAGCATAAATTAGAAGTGCAGACATTGTTTTTTGTGATTTAATTTTCCGAAATTGTTGTTGGTTTTTGTTGTTGTTGTTGTTACTGTTACGCATTCCTTTGTGGGAGCCAGGCGGCTAAAGGAAATCTTTTGCCAAGACAAACAACAAATACTTTGGGAAGTACGAAACGAAGTTGATGTGGATTGTTGTAGGCTACACATTCCAATGTTTGCGTTTAGAAGTCGGATTTTGGGAAAATTCTTTAGTCGAACAAGTATAAAGACCTGAGGTCTCTATAAAGACCTGAGGTCTCTATAAAGACCTGAGGTCTCTATAAAGACCTGAGGTCTCTATAAAGACCTGAGGTCTCTATAAAGACCTGAGGTCTCTATAAAGACCAATTGGTCTCTGTAAAGACCAGGGGTCTCTATAAAGACCAGGGGTCTCTATAAAGACAAATTGGTCTCTATAAAGACCAATTGGTCTTTATAAAGATTAGGGATCTCTATAAAGACCAGGGATCTCTATAAAGACCAGGGATCTCTATAAAGACCAGGGATCTCTAGAAAGACCAATTGGTCTCTATAAAGGCCAGGGTTCTCTATAAAGACCAGGGGTCTCTATAAAGACCAGGGGTCTCTATAAAGACCAGGGGTCTCTATAAAGACCAGGGGTCTCTATAAAGACCAGGGGTCTCTATAAAGACCAATTGGTCTCTATAAAGACCAGGGGTCTCTATAAAGACCTGGGGTCTCTATAAAGACCTGGGGTCTCTATAAAGACCTGGGGTCTCTATAAAGTCCTGGGGTCTGTATGACCTTAAAAAAGACATTAACTTTTCAATAGCAAATAAGGGACTTGCCTTAATTTCCAATGTCATCCTCAGTTGTCATGTATTCCTATGTTACGCCCATCCATCTATTCTCCCATACAATGCAAATCCCTCACTCCTTTTCCCTCCCACCAAAAAAGAAAATCCTGAGAACAATGCCCCAACATTATCGAGGGCAAACGAAAAGAAGTGGAAAACAAATTCCATAGATTTACCTTGACAAACATGATAAAGCAAGACTGCGGGACTGACAGTCCAACAACCGCCAGTAATGTCGTGGAATCAAAGCAACAGATTATCATCTACAAGGCAAAAAGAGAATAGAAATACAAACGAAGATGAACATCATTTGAATAAAATGTGTCATTATTGCATGGCAGGGAGGGAAACTATTTTTTGAAGACAATGCCAACCTGAATATCTGACAGATCGACAATAGCAGCAACAGTCCATGTAATAAAGACATTCAATTTTGCAGAATAAAACAATGTAATTTTAATGAACGGCATTCTTTCCCGCGTTACTTTTTTTTCATTTGGTATTCTCTCAGGCCACTGTCAAATCATCCGTGTAATATAGCCAAATGGATGGTGGTGGTAATTCGATATCAGATTCCTCTTCATCCAGCAGGCCATTGCCATCAAGGGTTTCGTGTAATTTCAAATTTCCCGGACAATGACCCTAAAGGGGACAAGAGCCAATACAATAAAGATTTCCATAACAATAACAAAGAAGAAGATCTTGAAATAGAAAACCTACACCATAGGAAAATTTACGCCATAAATAGCTGCCAGCATGAAGATTATAACGTTCCTTATATTTCCGTTGTATATCATAAATGCTATCCTCATTGCATACCTTCATTAGGGTGGTTGATCCCGTTAGGGTATTAATAATGCGGATTTTCCGCTCCCTCTTTGTTATACGACCAATGTGATACCTGGGATCCTGACTCCATAATTTACAAGGAGTCCTACAAAAGTCACTTTGAGCCGTCTCTAAGATGGGTGGAAATAATACACGTGGTTTGCCGGATCGACCAGAAATCTCTGTTATTGGCTCGTGATTCAGGTGAAAGAAATGCGATAGATCTTTGCCCCCAAAGGCCAATAGATAATCTAGATTCTAGAAATGTTTTATTTCGAATGTTATTTTTATTTTATATTTTTGAAATCTTTATGATTATGGACTTACTTTATTCCACGAATCTTGACGATCGCTCAACATTGGCGTCAAATCGAAAACATTGCCATGAATTACAATCCAAAAATCATCCTTCTTATTGTGAATACAAACTTCATCGTAGAGAAAATAACGAAGGTTTGACATTTTTCACAAAAACATAAAAAATAATTGGAAAAATTCCGAATTTCTGGTTAATAACTTTTTTGGAAAATATTTTTTCAGAACAGTAGTTTTTCCAGAAAATATTTTTTTATCAGTATCCTTTCTTCGAGGAGGATTCTAATTATTCCAAAAGATCGGCAATGTATGGGCCTTGCAAAAAATATGATTTAAAAAATCCACGCCTTGATAGGCAATGAAAAAATATGATTTAAAAAATCCACGCCTTGATAGGCAATGAAAAAATATGATTTAAAAAATCCACGCCTTGATAGGCAATGAAAAAATATGATTTAAAAAATCCACGCCTTGATAGGCAATGAAAAAATATGATTTAAAAAATCCACGCCTTGATAGGCAATGAAAAAATATGATTTAAAAAATCCACGCCTTGATAGGCAATGAAAAAATATGATTTAAAAAATCCACGCCTTGATAGGCAATGAAAAAATATGATTTAAAAAATCCACGCCTTGATAGGCCTTGAAAAAATATGATTTAAAAAATCCACGCCTTGATAGGCCTTGAAAAAATATGATTTAAAAAATCCACGCCTTGATAGGCAATGAAAAAATATGATTTAAAAAATCCACGCCTTGATAGGCAATGAAAAAATATGATTTAAAAAATCCACGCCTTGATAGGCAATGAAAAAATATGATTTAAAAAATCCACGCCTTGATAGGCAATGAAAAAATATGATTTAAAAAATCCACGCCTTGATAGGCAATGAAAAAATATGATTTAAAAAATCCACGCCTTGATAGGCAATGAAAAAATATGATTTAAAAAATCCACGCCTTGATAGGCAATGAAAAAATATGATTTAAAAAATCCACGCCTTGATAGGCAATGAAAAAATATGATTTAAAAAATCCACGCCTTGATAGGCAATGAAAAAATATGATTTAAAAAATCCACGCCTTGATAGGCAATGAAAAAATATGATTTAAAAAATCCACGCCTTGATAGGCAATGAAAAAATATGATTTAAAAAATCCACGCCTTGATAGGCAATGAAAAAATATGATTTAAAAAATCCACGCCTTGATAGGCAATGAAAAAATATGATTTAAAAAATCCACGCCTTGATAGGCAATGAAAAAATATGATTTAAAAAATCCACGCCTTGATAGGCAATGAAAAAATATGATTTAAAAAATCCACGCCTTGATAGGCAATGAAAAAATATTATTTAAAAAATCCACGCCTTGATAGGCAATGAAAAAATATGATTTAAAAATCCACGCCTCATATAGGCACTGAAAAAATATGCTTTAAAAATCTACGCCTTGATAGGCACTGAAAAAATATGCTTTAAAAATCCATTGATAGGCAATGAAAAAATATGGGCTGTGAAAAAACATTCGTTAAAAAATCCACGCCACAAATGGGCTGTGAAAAAATATTCTTTAAAAAATCCACGCCACATATGGGCTGTGAAAAAATATTCTTTAAAAAATCCACGCCTCATGTAGGCCCTAAAAAATATTTTTTTAAAAATCCGCGCCTCTGATAGGCCTTGAAAAAATATTCTTTAAAATATCCACGCCTCATATAGGTAGGCCCTAAACAATATTCTTTAAACAATCCACGCCTCATATAGGTAGGCCCTAAAAAATATTCTTTAAAAAATCCACGCCTTGATTGATAGGCCTTGAAAAAATATTCTTTAAAAAATCAACGCCTCATATAGGCTGTGAAAAAATATTTTTTAAAAAATCCGCGCCTCTGATAGGCCTTGAAAAAATATTTTTTAAAAAATCCGCGCCTCTGATAGGCCTTGAAAAAATATTCTTTAAAAAATCCACGCCTCATATAGGTAGGCCCTAAAAAATATTCTTTAAAAAATCCACGCCTCATATAGGTAGGCCCTAAAAAATATTCTTTAAAAAATCCACGCCTCATATAGGCTTTGAAAAAGTATTCTTTAAAAAATCCACGCCTCATATAGGCTGTGAAAAAATATTCTTTAAAAAATCCGCGACTCTGATAGGCCTTGAAAAAATATTCTTTAAAAAATCGACGCTTGTTTTTATCCTACAAATAAATTAGGCCTTTTTTTCCTCGCCCTGAAATCCGTGTTATATTATGGCTCATAAATCTCATATTCGATATAAATCATGTCGTCCTGAATGATGATGAAATATCGTCCACATCGAATATTGAAATCCAAAAATCATAACATAAACAGACTTGCATTAATATCGGCAAATAAATACGCAAGCGAAAACGTGTTGAGAATCTTAAATCAGATTAGCTTTGAGTCCAGCTCTTCTCTGGCGGATACTTCTTTGTCTCTTTGAGAACAACAACAATGTTTACACTGATTATGGGTTAGGTTTTAACCATTATGCCGCTGTGAAAAGAACGTTGACCGCGTTTAGCCTGCGTTTGTTTACACAACCGCCATCACCATCATCATCATCGACAAGAACAACAAACAGCCAAACAACTGTGAAACTTGTTAGCATCTCCTTAAGTAATCACTTCCCTCTGTAACGCTCCACTCTTTGGCCACCTCATCTGGGCCTCTACCTTTGAAAACAAATTAATCGAGAAACGTGAACAAACTTGGTCGTCAGTCCTTTTGCGTTTTAACTTCAAAACTAGTTCTTCGGCTGTTGCACCTGATGACTCATATTTCCCAACCACTGAGCATGCTTAATCTTGTATATATTTTATCTGTTAACAAAAAAATTCTACAAACGACCGTTGTATGTCTTTTAAGTTATGGGAAAATATTTACTGGCCTTTGGATGAGGTTTTTTGGATTTTTTTCCTCCACGGGCTTAACATTTGCTTTGCTGGGCATAGACGCAAAAAAAGAGGCCAAATCACTTTGGGACACTCCCAAATGGCAAATGGTGGTGGTGGTAGTGGACAAAATAAAGCAAAACAAGTGAATTGTGTTTAGGATTTTGAACGGACACCCAGCAGAAGGCATTGTGACTGGAATCTGTTGCAATGCAATTCTTTCGCTGCTTCGCTGAAGAGGAGTTCGCTAATTGTGTGGAAACAGGTTTGTTGCTTAAGTCTTTTGTTTGATATTTGATGCACACACAATCAATAGTTGTTATGACTTTGTGCGAAGGAATATTGTGAAATTCGATTTCGCAAATTATTACGGAAATATATTTCAATTGTACAAGTATGGATTTTTTTAATAAATCAAGGCGTGGATTTTTTAAAGAATATTTTTTCAAGGCCTATCAGTCAAGGCGTGGATTTTTTAAAGAATATTTTTTCAAGGCCTATCATTCAGGGCGTGGATTTTTTAAAGAATATTTTTTCAAGGCCTATCATTCAAGGCGTGGATTTTTTAAAGAATATTTTTTCAAGGCCTATCATTCAGGGCGTGGATTTTTTAAAGAATATTTTTTCAATGCCTATCAGAGGCGTGGAATTATTAAAGGCCTATCAGAGGCGTGGAATTATTAAAGAATATTTTTAAGGCCTATCAGAGGCGTGGAATTATTAAAGAATATTTTTTAAGGCCTATCAGAGGCGTGGATTTATTAAAGAATATTTTTTCAAGGCCTATCAGAGGCGTGGATTTATTAAAGAATATTTTTTAAGGCCTATCAGAGGCGTGGAATTATTAAAGGCCTATCAGAGGCGTGGAATTATTAAAGAATATTTTTTAAGGCCTATCAGAGGCGTGGAATTATTAAAGGCCTATCAGAGGCGTGGAATTATTAAAGAATATTAAAATCAAGGCGTGGATTTTTTAAAGAATATTTTTGCAGGGCCTATCAATCAAGGCGTGGATTTTTTAAAGAATATTTTTTGCAGGGCCTATCAATCAAGGCGTGGATTTTTTAAAGAATATTTTTTGCAGGGCCTATCAATCAAGGCGTGGATTTTTCAAAGAATATTTTTTCAAGGCCTATCATTCAAGGCGTGGATTTTTTAAAGAATATTTTTTCAATGCCTATCAGAGGCGTGGAATTATTAAAGAATATTTTTTGCAGGGCCTATATGAGGCGTGGATTTATTAAAGAATATTTTTTGCAGGGCCTATATGAGGCGTGGATTTATTAAAGAATATTTTTTGCAGGGCCTATATGAGGCGTGGATTTATTAAAGAATATTTTTTGCAGGGCCTATCTATCAAGGCGTGGATTTTTTAAAGAATATTTTTTGCAGGGCCTATCTATCAAGGCGTGGATTTTTTAAAGAATATTTTTTGCAGGGCCTATCTATCAAGGCGTGGATTTTTTAAAGAATATTTTTTGCAGGGCCTATCTATCAAGGCGTGGATTTTTTAAAGAATATTTTTTGCAGGGCCTATATGAGGCGTGCATTTTTAAAGAATATTTTTTGCAGGGCCTATATGAGGCGTGGATTTTTTAAAGAATATTTTTTGCAGGGCCTATATGAGGCGTGGATTTTTTAAAGAATATTTTTTCAAGGCCTATCAGAGGCGTGGAATTATTAAAGAATATTTTTTCAAGGCCTATCAGAGGCGTGGAATTATTAAAGAATATTTTTTCAAGGCCTATCAGAGGCGTGGAATTATTAAGGAATAATTTTTCAAGGCCTATCAGAGGCGTGAAATTATTAAAGAATATTTTTTGCAGGGCCTATATGAGGCGTGGTTTTTTTAAAGAATATTTTTTGCAGGGCCTATATGAGGCGTGGTTTTTTTAAAGAATATTTTTTGCAGGGCCTATATGAGGCGTGGTTTTTTTAAATAAAATTTTTTCAAGCCCTGCAATAGGAATATTTGGTTTTTTGTTGTTATTAATTGCTTTTAAAACGCTTACCATCCTCTGAGTGACATCAATGCCCACTAAGTAAGTATTTAGGCACGAGATTTTCATTCCCCACTTTGTTCAAGAATTATGGCCTCCCCACAGCATTGCCAAGAATCCCAACAATTTCTAATCTAATAATAAAAGAAGAAGAACGAAAACTGAAAAAATGCTTGTAATTGACCGCAAAATGAAACTCATACTGCCGGGCAAAGCAATGCTGATGAT